TAATTAATCAATTAATGTGTTGTTTCAAACGCTTTCGCAAATTTTAAAAGTAAAGAGTATTACTTGTATCGAATGAATAAATAAAAAATGAGTTAATTAATTAATCTAAAGTAATTACAACGAAATTGCTTCAAAGAGTTCAAGTACAGAAAGATTTTTGTAAGTGATTTAGTGCAGAGAGCTTGGATGAAAATAAATTGAGCTTTATTTCAAAGAAGTTATATTGTGAAATGCTTTCAAACAAAAGTTTACTCAAATGTATTCCCTTTATGCGTCATCCTATAATTAAACAGCGTTGCATCTCTGTTACGTAACAAATGAGTGAGGACAAATGTGTATGGTATCGTCAGTCCAGAAAAAAAACGCGAATTCAGAAGTTGTCCGTCGTCGACGATTGCGGCCGAGTAAACTGTTATGACAGAGCTGGTCATCCGCACGCGCGGGGGGCAACCGACTGAAAATATTTGCCGAAAATACGAGAAAAGCCGTGGCGGAGAAATGTGCCGTTTGTGTGTGTGTGCGCATGTAAAGAGTATAGCTTTGGCTTAGCCGTCGAGAGTAGTACTCGGGGACTCGGCGGAGTTGCACTATATAATACAGAGAAGCTATAGGGGCTGTGCAGCGGAAAACTCTTGCCTCCGCATCCGCCTATATACGTACGTGTGCCTCTCTTTCGACAACAACAAAACGACAACAAGTTCTTGGCTCGGCGTGCGCGCACACAAACTTCATCAAGGATGAGAACAAGAATACGAGGCTGCAGCTCGCTGCACTCGACGAGGAGCTGCTCAAGTGCTCGCACCGGAGGGGGGTAATCGAAAACTTCTCATTGAAAACTTGTATGTGCCGTATATATGCGACTGCCATCAGCTGCGCGAAATCTCTCTCTCGAGCCGGAGCTCTCAGACTCGAAATTATTCTGTAAATAACGTGAATAGGTGTCGTTTACATTTCGATCGTAATTATTCGAGTCCAAAGCGACGAGAGTCGGCGCGAGTTTCTCTCGAGCTTATTTATATACATTTCTACGCGAGATATGAGGGCTCTGCGTATTTCACTCGGCGTTGAAATTCGACGCGCAAACACGTAGTAGCTGCTCTGTGTAATCGCGCGCGCGCGCGTGTAGTTTCACGTTGAACGACGGATTTGCCAGCAGCTGCTGCTGTATAAGGGAATTCGGAATCAGCCCATTCCGCGAGTCCGAAAAAATCCAGCTCGATCGAGTGGCCGAACCAAAAGGGGCATCGATTCGGTTGCGCTTATCGAGCTCCACAAAAAAATAAAAAAAGAAAAAAATAAATAAAATAATGAAAGAGGAAGCGGAGACAGAGATGACGAAATTAACTGTCCAAGTAGTAATCGCTGCTGTACATACACGCGTACTTGCGGCGCGTTTGTGTCACTCGACAATGACGTCGGTTTTCGATTAAATTCCTCGAGCTTGACATGCGGCCATAGTTGCACAAGATTAGCCGAGATCCCCCTTTGACACGCTGTGACTCGGCTCTCAGCTACTCTCCACGCGGATATTCTTCGGATAGATCGGATAGATACACAGCGTAGAGAATAAGGATGTGTCCGTGTGTGCATTCAAGTGCAGCCGTCGCAGCTGCAAAGTTGGCCCACGCGGCGAGTTCGACTTTGAGGACGACGACGACGACGACGATCATCGGCAGCTGAAAGGACACGGACGCGTAATTATAGGAAAGCCGCGCGTACCTTTATGCAAATCAAGTAAACTAGTGGCAACATTTGTTGCTAAAGCTGAGCGAAATATGGTTATATGTTTATTTATTCATTTATTTCGTACTATAAAATCAGAAAGATTTAAATGCGATTTTGAAGACTTAGGAATAAAGAAGAACCGCAATATTAATCAATGACATATCAAATTGTCTAATTTATAACAGTTTGAAATACTTTATTTAACAAAAATTTAATAATATTTTCGAATTATCCAAATACATATGGGTAAGGCTCAGAATTTTTTAAATAAACCTGCGCTCGTATGTCACCGATCTTGACGCGCTTTTGGTATGTTATAGTACATGGTAAAAAAGACCCAAAACCAAAATTTTAGACCCCCTCCCCCCTCCTACCCCCCACTTCCGGTATAAACGTCCATTTTCTATCTATATTTTTTCTGAAGGCCTGAAGCAATTAAAAAATCTGAAAAAATTCACAAAAATACTTTTCAACAATCCAAACAACCTTGAATTTTTTCAGATTTTTTGAGTGCTTCAGGCCTTCAGAAAAAATTATTGAAAATTTTGAAAATTCATATACGGCGCTACGATGCAATACAAAGCCCGATCTTTTTTTCCACTTATTTTTGACATCAAAATACATAACCTCAAATTTTTTCAGATTTTTTCAGACAGAGCGCTGGCGGTTTTTAGCCGAAAAACGCCCTTTTTTTACGAAAATAATTTTTTTAGGGCGATATGAAGCTTTAAAAAATCTGGAAAAATTTTTTTCTTGTTTTTCAGGTCAAAATACATAACCTTGAATTTTTTCAAATTTTTTAATTGAAGGCGATAGCATCTATGGCTAAAAAACGCTATTTTTATGAAAAACGGTTCCTGGAACCCAGAGGTTCCGGTAAAAAAATTTGAAAAAATTTTTTTCGAATTCCTTGTCAAATTTTAATAAATTTTGACCGTCGCAAAATTTCGATTGGAGCTTCCTAGCTCATTCTAGAGCATAACAAAGATTCGAGCGAAATTCTGAAGAAATTTGAAAAATAATGTAATTGTGATGAACGTCTTCAGAATTTCGCTCGAATCTTTGTTATGCTCTAGAATGAGCTAGGAAGCTCCAATCGAAATTTTGCGACGGTCAAAATTTATTAAAATTTGACAAGGAATTCGAAAAAAATTTTTTCAAATTTTTTTACCGGAACCTCTGGGTTCCAGGAACCGTTTTTCATAAAAATAGCGTTTTTTAGCCATAGATGCTATCGCCTTCAATTAAAAAATTTGAAAAAATTCAAGGTTATGTATTTTGACCTGAAAAACAAGAAAAAAATTTTTCCAGATTTTTTAAAGCTTCATATCGCCCTAAAAAAATTATTTTCGTAAAAAAAGGGCGTTTTTCGGCTAAAAACCGCCAGCGCTCTGTCTGAAAAAATCTGAAAAAATTTGAGGTTATGTATTTTGATGTCAAAAATAAGTGGAAAAAAAGATCGGGCTTTGTATTGCATCGTAGCGCCGTATATGAATTTTCAAAATTTTCAATAATTTTTTCTGAAGGCCTGAAGCACTCAAAAAATCTGAAAAAATTCAAGGTTGTTTGGATTGTTGAAAAGTATTTTTGTGAATTTTTTCAGATTTTTTAATTGCTTCAGGCCTTCAGAAAAAATATAGATAGAAAATGGACGTTTATACCGGAAGTGGGGGGTAGGAGGGGGGAGGGGGTCTCAAATTTTGTTTTTGGGACCTTTTTACTATGTACTATAACATACCAAAAGCGCGTCAAGATCGGTGACATACGAGCGCAGGTTTATTTAAAAAATTCTGAGCCTTACCCATATATGATATTACAGTATCAAATAAATTAAATTCACGTTTGAAAAAAAAAAAAAAAAAAATAAATACATATATGAGGAGGGATATAACATTTATAACATAATTCAAATTACCCTATAAATATCATTGGGGTATAAGCATGATGTAATACTGCACAAAAATTCTGAAAACATTTCTGAAGACGTACTTGGGGACGTTAAGGGATGATAAAAATATTTAACATATTATAAATCTTTTTTGTTCTTTGCATTATATCATTTAAGTGCTTCCAACTCGATCTAGAGCATTATTTATTTATTAAATTTCTTTTTTATTTTTTTTTTTTTTTTTATTTTTTTTTATTTTTTTTTATTTTTTTTATTTTTTATTTATATTTTTATTTATTTATTTATTTATTTAATCCTCCAGATACATATTGATACAAAAATTCTGATGAATATAACGCGAGAATCACGTAAATAGTTTAAGGGTTGATAGAGGGGTGAAAAATGATCGTATCGATTCCAAAATTTATACAGCACATCTTCGGGTCGCTAGAAAGGCACCATAAAAATTTGGACCTAATCGGTTGAACGATTATTGAGGTATCGTGTTTACAAGGCCGTCCTGAGTTAACAATAGTAGGACTTCGCTTCGCTCAGCTAAATAAATACGCGGGTTGATTCGAGTTTTTGTCGCAGTATCACGTAGCGTCTTTTTGTCGCCCAGTATATCACGCTTCGCCGAGTCGAGCTACTACTGCAGCGTAGCTGTATACGCGTCGTCGAGCAAACGAGCTTTAACGCGTATAATTCGCGCGTCCAGGTAAGAGAGATAGAAAGAGAGAGACGAGCTGTCCATGTAAAACGTGTTTACACGTCGAGCTGATGCCGCTGCTGCTGCTGCTGCGGTGTCTAGTCCCTCGAGGTAAGTCGCGCGGCGAGGACTCCGCAGGGCGGTATGCAGAGGCAGCCATCGCCGCGTCCGCAGGGCTTCCAAGTTGTCTTTTACCGAGGACTCGAGACGCGACTATTTACATTATACGCTGTGTGCACACTTTGCCTCGAATAAGCTTCGTCCGCACGCTGTTTTTTTTTCTTCCAATTTTTCTCGAGTAATTTTGGAGCTTTTTCCGTTGCGCAATCGTCGTGACTAATAATTTTTCTGTTCGACTCTTAATCTCCGGCGTTGAACGAGCTCTAAAAACAAAAAAAAGAGTAGAGAGAAGGAGAAAACACGTGTCATGCGAGCTGCTGCTGGCTAGCCGTGCGCACCCAAATGCATTCGCCAGTACAGTTTAAGTATAGCATAGTCGCTGCTCTATAGTAGTATAGTACAGCTATACACGCAGTAGGAGGAGACGGTGGAGGCGGAGGAAGGGCATATCTCTCTCTCTCTGGCGCTATAGCTGCTGCGCGGCTGCTACTGCTGCTGCTGCTGCTCTCCATGGCAAAAGGGTAGCAAAGCAGCAGCAGTTGGCGCGCGACCAGCGCGTTGTCTGCCTCGCACGGAACGAGATACGGAGAGTCTCCGTACAATAAGCGCGTATACGTAAAGCTCGATCGCGCCTCCCGTTCTCCAGTACCAGTGCTGGTGCGCGACCAGTCGAGCGCGCGCGCGACTTTCGACGTACTCCAGTTTTCAAAGAAAAAAAAAGTGCCGTACAATCGGTGTGCTGTGTGATACTTTTCTGTGACTTGCTTCGCCCCCCGCACATATACGGGATGCAGTGGTAATAATCTCGAATTTTTTTCCTCGATGTTCATTGCTGCGAAGAAGACTCTACGTAGCTGCAGCTTTATTTTACACGGTAACTAAATACTAGTTAAGTAACGGCTCTATCGCTTCGTTGCGAATTGCCATTCCAGCGCGCGGGGGTGGCGAAATGAGCGCGCAAACTTAATTGGCCCCGCAGCTCTCTATGTGTATCTGGTTACTCGAGCCCAGCGAACCGATAAAGCGCGCCGCAGCGTATTCTCATTTTTTCCAGCTCGAGCGCGCGGTCACTCTCTTTTTTTTCGCCTCGTCAAATTTACCTTCCCGATCGCGCAGCGTAGCGTAGTGGTAGGAGAGAAAAAAAAATTATAGGTAGTTCCGATTCGAGAGTCTGTAAAAGCAGCAGCAGCAGCTGAAGTTATAACGCAATTAACGCAGCGCGTATATGGAAATGCCTAAGCTCGCTCGCTTCGAGCTTCTTTACCTTCCATTTGCATAAATAATAAATCCGCGAGAGCTGCAAGCAAAGCTTTGCGGGAATCGCGCAAGCTCCGGCAAGAAACGCATTCGATTAATGGCAGCGATTCGAGCGCGCTTATATACGTGTACTTTATGTATTCCGATGCCAATGAGGAGTAGAGGCGTACGCGCGCGTTTGATCGGACCAAAAAAAAGCCCAAGCGAAAGCTCTCTCTCTCAAGCCGACGTTGAATTATTGAGACTTGCCAGCAGCTGCTTCTGCTGCTGCATATGCTTATGCGCCCGCAAGCTCTTACGTATATCGTATACACAAATGAGGCGGCGCTGAATGGATTATCGACAAAAAGAGTACGACAACAAAAAAAGTACACAAATATATATTCAAAGCAGAAGCGGCTTTGAAGCGATGCGAAATTACGCAACGAAAGAATTTCCACTCGCGGAGCGCCGCACATTGTGGCCCGTGTATATAGCAGCGAAAAATTGTTACTGCATTGTTGAGCTTTTTTGCGCAACGAGCGCGCTCGTCTCATTGTCCGGAAATTAATGGCATATCAATTTTACATATACACCGCCAAGTCGTACCAAAAAAAAAAGCTCAACTTTTTTTCGTCGATGCGTCGAGGGAGAAAATTATTCGCGTAACACGCCGAAATAATCTCGTTTCGTGGTACATCGTGAGTTTTGGATAGGCAGTAGAGCTGTGCCTAGAATTGTAAGGATCTCGGAAAGATTGCAGGCCACGAATTTCTCGGATGGCAAATCAACTTTAAACGTCAGCCGAACTTTGCGGAGCTCGCAGGACAACTTCTCTCGTGCATTACACAATGCGCGAAAAGCTTATCTAATATATAGCCACGATAATGTATAATATATCTGTGGTGGAAAGGCATAACGACTTAAGTCCATTTTTTTGAAAATCGATTTTATGATGAAAAACGTCTATATTTAGTGTCTATTTTAATGTACAAGGGTCAGAATAGACGAATATAGCGTCTAGCATTAGTTGCAGCATCGTGCATAACGACTTAAGTCCATTTCGCGAAGACTGGGGAAAGGCAAAACGACTTAAGTCCACCCTTGCGAGTTTCAAAATGCTTTAGAGAGTCTAATTTTATTTGAAAATGAAAGAAAATGGTATTAGAATGTTAAACATAGCTCCACACTCTTCGAATGTTGTGAATTACACTATATGATTGTTACATTTGATACGCGAGGGGCAATTTTCTCGATTTTCAGTTTGGCCTTTTTTCGTTGCAAGATTTGAGATCTGACGGCAGTATAACGTTAAATGAGCTATCTTATCAATGTAAAATCATTAAATGAGGTTGTGCGAACAAACTGCGCGAAATTATCGATATTGAAAAAAGTGTGACCGCCAAAAGTGGACTTAAGTGCAAACCGTGGAAAGGCAAAACAACTTAAGTCCATATTTTTTGCTCCCTATCATCGCTATGATGCGCCTTTCAATTTCATAAGTACATAGTTCAAAAGCTACCTCATAATAGGTAAAAATATTATAGGTTCAGACCTCAACTCGTCCGCGTCTTATTAGGCTGGCACAATCAACTTAAAACGCGTTTTTCTCGAAAATACGAAAAATGGACTTAAGTCGTTATGCCTTTCTACCACAGATATATACAATACATTTTAGCGCGCCCATATATATATAACGTACGATATACGCGCGTAATTGTATTTGTTTAAGTAACATATTCGCAAGCGCGAGTTTCTGTACGAAGAACTATTACGACCTGCCAAAATGGAATGACCCGAAAAGCTCATCAAGCCGCTAATGACATGAATAAAACAACGGCTGATTAACAATTATATACCTGTTCACTGCGATGTAAATTTCGCGATTTTGATGAAAACAACAAAAAAAAAGTTGTATCTATACAAAAAAAAAGGTCAGCCGTAAGCTCGCGTTACACGCTACATGTTACATAAAGAGCACCATATTGTCGCAGAATCAACGCTATTTTTTTTTTACAAACCTTTTCATACCGAAGAGGAAGAAGAAAAAAAAGAACGCGATAAGCGAAAGGATCGCCGATTGAAGCACACGTATGTTATCGGCTATGTGCGCACAGTTAATCCAAAGAAATTCTTCTTTACAGCAGTTCTCGTACGTGTGTGTGTGTGTGTGTGTGTGTGTGTTTGTAACTGTGTGTGTTGCTGGAGCGAAATTTTCTCGGGTCCTGCGCTCGGTTCCATCTTTTGCCGCTTTTGTGTGTCCTTATACGCGCGCGTGCTCGAGGCACATACAGAAGCCGTCCCCGAACGACTACGACGACGACGACGACGAGCCTTTTTCCTATCCCTCGCATCTTTTGTACAAGCACGTCTTTTTTTTGCTCTTCTCTTCTTTTTATTTTCGAGAGAGAGAGAGAGAGAGTGAGAGTGAAAGTAAGTTCGTAAAAATAGCTGCTGCAGCAGCAGCCATGTATATACATATAATTTGGCATCAAAGAAGCTACTTCATCGTGGATCAATTGAGCTTTAATCCGCTCGGCAAAGAAACTCGATTAAGTTGTCGCTTTTATATATATATAAAAGCAGCAACAGCAGCAGAATTGCGAGACGTCGTTTCGCGTGCTCGTGTCTTTCGAAGGCAAAATCTCGAGCTTTTGATTGTTTCTCAATGGCAGCGAATAATAGCGGCAAGAGTATATTTTTATGCTCCTCTTTATTGTTCGTCGGGGAGCCATTGTCAGTTATATATACGGTATAATCTGGATGTTTTGACACCGATTAAGTTTTGAGCTTTTTGGGAAAAAGGGCGCCGAGCGCATAAGCTCGCGTGCAGCACGTGAACAATAGCTGCTGCTGCCGTTCCCTTCATCTTATATATATATATACGTATAACGCGTACAAGAGAGAAAAAGTTTCCGAGCTATATAAGGGCGAAACAATTTGCTAGTTACGACGATGTTTAATCCGAAAAAGGTATCTATATCGCGCCGCTGTAACGTAACGCTCGTCATTCGTCCCGCAGCGCGCAATTATTATCTCTTAATCTTGGCTCTCTCTCTACGGGAGCTTCGAGTCTCTCAAGAAAAGCAAGTCATCTCTCTTATCTCTGGCGTGTACTATGAGCCATTTAAGTGAGTAGAGACGGTCGCGCAAGACTACGTACATAGCCCCGGTGTCGCCCGAGCAGCAGCAGCAGCAGCAGCAGCAGCAGTAGCAGTGTATATGGTACATAAAAAACAGTAACGATAAAATAGATCGCGCCCGCGCGAAGGCAACACGAGAGCTAGAAGAAGGTATATCTGTGTGTGTGTAGCTCTCGCGAGCGAGGCACACAGGGCGGGCGATAACTCGTAATTCCGAAAAAAGGCAGTAAAATCCGAGAGAGAGAGAGAGAGAGAGAGAGACAAACAGCTATTCAGCAGCAGCAGCATCGTTGTGCTTGCCTCGCTGCTCTACCGTTATACCAGAGCTCGTTGCAGCCGATGAAAAAACGAGAAAAAAGGGAGGAATATAAATAAATAAATAAACGAGCGAGCATGGGAATTTGCGAGTCAACGACTATACGTGCTTTTAAAGAAAGTGTATCGATTTTTTCTCCTACATGCGTATATGTACGTGCATTACTCGAAATGCATCTGAAATAGTCTGAATTCAATAACGCGTGTCCCGTTAATAATAAGAGGAAGAAAAAGACTCGAAGAGGAAGAAAAAAGTAGGAGGGAGAAAAGCAGCCAAGGTTGCATAAGCTGTAAAGTTACACGGGACTGGTTATAGTCTACACAGTAGTGCAGCAGTTTTCGCATCCACGCGCACACATTGAAAGGCAGAAGTTTCGTCAGTGGTGCGTCGAAATATTCCCTTCCTCTCTCTCTCGCTCTCTGCACGCGTATACGTATGCACATGCTATATGTACGTATATATCCGCCGCCAAGGTTTCCTCCTTCGCTGCTTCTGCTATACTACTGCAGCTGCGGTTGGTTTTCGGATTTTCGGGTAATGAAAGAGTTTTTCCTCTCTTTCCCCTTAGCCCGCGCCGCACTGTGTCTGGCGCGCAGATAAGAACTGCACCGCTAGGCAAGTATAAGAAGACTTTTTTCTTATATGAAAACTACTCGTGCATGTGTGTGTGTTTGAGTGCGTGTATACTCGAGAGCGGCTTATACATGTATATCCACACACACCCACACAGACACTGATATCGGAAAATCGAAAGGTGCTGAGGTTTTTTCTCTCTCTCTCTCTCGCGCACACGAATATGACACTAGGGCTGTTATATATCCTGAAACGGTATACCAATCACGATAATGACATTGCCTTCTCTCTCTCTGCATATATTGAGTGCAGCGGCTCGTTCTTATCGCATTGTGTGCGACGCGAAGGGTATAATTTAGGTCAAGAATTGTCCAAAGTCAAGCGCTCGCTGCCTTTTCACTTTTCCGCCCTTCGTCGTCGTCGTCGTCGTCGTCGTCGCGCGGCTCATAGCTTTTTTAATTGACTCGCAATCAGCTGATTAACCGAGCGGTTGAGCCACTTTCGACCTCGGCAGCTTGACTGGCAGCCACGTCAAAATCCGCATCGCTCTCGTCGTTGAGTGATGGCATTAGCGTCAGCTCGAAAGCTCGGCAGCTCGTCGTCGTC